TCCATCAGACATAGTATCAATCGAGTATCTATCATTATAAACAACAACAGAATCATCAGGTATAGTATCAATCGAGTTTCTATCATTATAAACAACAACAGAATCATCAGGTATAGTATCAATCGAGTTTCTATCATTATAAACAACAACAGAATCATCAGGTATAGCAACAATCAGGTATCTATCATTATAAACAACAGAATCATCAGGCATAGTATCAATCAGGTATCTATCATTATAAACAACAGAGCCATCAGGCATAGTATCAACCGAGTATTTATCATTATAAACAACAGTACCATCAGACATAGTATCAACCGAGTATCTATCATTATAAACAACATCAGAACCATCAGGTATAGTAGCAATCAAGTATTTATCATTTTAAGCAACAGAACCATCAGACATAGTAGCAATCAAGTATTTATCATTATAAACATTAGAATCATCAGGTATAGTATCAATCGAGTTTCTATCACGTACCAGAGAGACCATTATAACAACCGTAACACTTCCCCATGATCTTGGTCAACCTGTGTTCCTGAGAAACTTGCTTTGTAAGTTACTCTGTCAGTTGTCGACAACTGCATGAAAATCGTGATATCGGAAATAGCATCTTGTATATTGAATCAAACACCACATATAAACATCATTTGTTAGCAGAGTTGTATTCAGAAAGGTTAAATGTACCATAGACAAATTGAAATCATCACTCTTGTCATCTAGTTTGATGAAAGTTCGCCATGTTGGTTCGTTGTAGGAAAAGATCGAGGTACTTTAGTTGATGTAGAACAGTCTGTCGTAGCTTTGATTTCCAATTCTGGTAGATATATACGACGGACATAGTCAATGAGTTTCTTGTTTTTTAGAGACAAGACGTCATGAATTTATCTGAAAGTGATATTGAAGGACTTGGCAAGGTCTTTGTGATGTAATATGGTACGTTTTCTGATAAATTCAACTTCATATGAAAAATAATATCGAAACACACAAAGTCGTTAGAGAGAGGGGCACTGTTGGGATATCTAACCTTCAAAATCTGCCCGGAAATGTCAACCAATCATTTTATTCTCTACTTTTACTGGTCGTATGATTCCAGAAATACGGTCAATTGTACATATAGTTCACTTTCATGTACTTATATAAGTAGTCTTATGTCTTAATTTGAATCTTAAGAATAAGCTACCTATTTTTAGTGACCGGCCAAACAACCTGATTGCTAAATTTGCACTATCATACTCTTCATAGTATGTAGTCCGTGGCATTGCTATAATACATGTAGGTGTACTGAAAGGTTTTGTTACTCTTAAACATTCAACTCACTTTCTTACCTAAAGGCGGAATGCGAAAGTTATATATTGTAATATTGTATATGTAATAAGTATATATATATATATAAGTTATGTATGATACACGTACGTTGACCCGGATTTTGTGCAAATAACTTTGTGACAAGGAAACTAACTACACCAAGATATTTACATAATTAGACACTGCTGGCAGTCATTGTGGGAGACGCAAACATCTACCTTGTTGACTGAAACCACAACAATACCCTTTTACTTTTTTATAATTTTCTCCTTTTCGATGCCAACATTCGTCAGCCTCCTTCCCAAATGCATCAGAAACATCTGCGTTACGTTCAACACCTTCGAAATCTAAACGTTTCGGTTCCGGCATTCGTGTATATATAACGGTATCTTAGCTGTATGATACAGATAATGTATGTCTATTCATTGCGCGGAGCCTGTGACTTTCGCATAATGTAATACATAAATATTCGTAGAAACCTAGTATATGTCAGTGATCCCTATTGTCAATGGGGATCATCTTCAACTTTACAACTGCTCTGAACCCACATTTACACAATCTTTTGTACAAATGTTACACTGTTACTTTCTTTCAATGTGTCCAATTTTTTTTAGTGTGTGTACCTGTATGAACCTTACATAGACAATCTGGCAGTTATCGAAACACATCAGCTGTAACTGTCGATATGACGACACGTTGATTTTATGATATAATGACACTGTGATACTAAATACAAGTTTATCACACGTGTCCCAGTGTCCGGGATCTTTTTCATTCCTTCCGGTACTCAGCGGTTTGTCCGGTTTCCGTATCCTAGTTATTGTTCTACATTTACAACTGTCACGTAAGCATGTATATTTTGTATACACTTGGGGTAAGTCACCTTAATGGTAGGGTACCGCTAGGCGGAATTGCGTCACGGGTAGGTGTGCACGGGGTGAGATTCTCATGACAGATATTGTGTTATTGTTACCGTGCACCCGATATGGATTTATCGGCATTTAGCGTCATGTGAGACAGGCACAGGGGACTCGCTGTGCTTCACATGACGGGTTGGAACATTGATTGAGTCAGGACCAGGCAGGCCTCTCCTTTACATTGCGACCCAAGCGTCAGGACCGACCAGAAGTAACGACTTTCATTCAGGGTCAAGGTCAGCGAGGGAGCATACTTAGAAGTTACACTACCAGGGTTGGCGACTTGAATTCAGCACTTAATCAGCTGTCATGTCATTGACATAAGTGCGTTGCCTATTATGGTGATACAAGCGTGGAACTGCTTGAGGACGGTGACTCTGGATTGAGTCACGGTGATTCAGAGTATGGAACTCTATTGGGTTTGACAGGAACACTGTTCTGTTTCGTGAGCTAGAAGCTACAGGGACACTTATCATTATTTGGTTTATGAGTGTGTGAGTTAGCGAGTGTGACATCTTTAAATATATAGTTTATTTGTTTCATTGTAAATAAACATCATTGTTATACTGTGATCGGTTCTTCCAGCTTTCTTTTCCCGGATCACCAACCGTCGCTCGTCCACGTTAACAACAACGTTGTCGCGTCAAGATACCAATCATGTCCAACGACCTTTAAATTAAAAAAATCTAAAGTTTGACAAAAACGGTCGGTTACATCATTATGAATGTTATCAAGGAGTCTGATTCTGAGTACATAGGGAAACGGGCGTCGACAGGGTTTTGTGAACATTTGTAAAACGAGAGCATGATGAAGCTCTTGGGGAGAACACATTTCTTGTTTTGTTATAAAATACATACATTTTTAACTTAAAACACACAAAGCGACATACGTGTTAACAGGGATGTTAAGGACAAGAAAACTTTGAAACTTAAAGTAACCCCAATTAATTTTTATTCGATTTTTTTATTAAAACATTGCATAACTTTTACCCCTGCAATTTTCCCTGTGTTGTTCGAAATCACTTTAATGTTATAGCTTCACTTTATCAACACATATACATGTACTTAGAATTTACAGCGGTCAATGTTGAAAAGCCGTTATAAGACTTGATGACGTTTGATCTTAAATCAACACACATCCCCATGTTGCTACTAGTATATCAGATAGTGATAATGTGAGCTAATTGATAGTTAAGTGTGCTTTATCAATCTATGGTGATTAAGTATATCAATACATAGACAGGTATGTTACACATGTTAAGTCTGTTTGTTTAAAAATACATCTGAAGAACCGTCTTGTGCTACTCTATTACGAACGAGCTAAGATAATGTTGTTTATGAGTTTACCGGGACACCAGATAATACGTAAACTTTGTACACTTGATATAAAAGATAGATGCCATTTTGTAATTGTATGTTTATATTTTCAACCCCTTTGGATAAAGTTATCTGTAAGTAAAGAGATAACTGGCCAAGACCTCACTTGAGAAGTACACCTGGAATATGTAAAGTTGAGGTTTATGTATATATATAGAGAGAGAAAGAATTTCTGTAAAAATAATACATATTAAAAAGTTCTCCCATTTCTTACATTGTGTTCTTCTTAAAGTCTTTATTTTGCTTCTCTACTTATGTTATATTACAATGTGTTTTAACACTGTTGTATGTATATATATATACATATATAGGATCTTACGAGCGTTTCCATTTGATTTATGAAACAAAGACTTTGTAAGCCTGGCAAACTAAAATGAAAAATTTGCGATGAGTTTCATAAATCACATATCAAAATGAAACGAATTTAAGACCCTCCTTATCACACAGTCAGTTATTTTATTTATTTAATCATGTTTTCTTCAGGAAATATTGTAGAAAACAGACAAATCCGAGTCAGACAAATATTTCCGGCTCTGTATTTATAGTCTCCAGTGTTACGTCACAATGTATGTGTGGGTGTCAATCCTATTTGGAACCTTTGGCACTTTTAAGTGTCGAAGGTTTCATGGTTAGTGTCTATCATCACACAAGGTGAACATACGTGCAATACGCAAAATTATTGCACGGTTATTTCACTGACTAACGAAGTATCAAGCAGTAGAATTCGACTGCAATCCTGGCAAGCATATCCATTTTTATAGTGGGCAACCACTTATTATCGGAAATGAAAAATTCTATCTCCTCTTGACTTTCAACTTGATTCAGCTTCGCGATGAGAGTTGACCAGAGTATAATATGAGAGGGTAGACACATATTTTATATCTTTATGTAAAAACTTATACATATCTAAATAACTATATCGATGAAGTCTACTTCTAGTACCCTGTGTATCATACAAATTAAATAAAACGGATGAATTATATGCACTTCCGGCAGACATGGAACTAGAAGAGTAAAACTTTAACAGAGTATTTCTACTTCCGGCAGCTATTTTCCTTTAAGCAAACATTTATAGCGAATTGACGATTTAACGACAAATTCTTCGCGATATTTGAATTTTTGAAAGAAAATGAAAATTATAAATATATATTATTTATAAATTTCACGACAAAATTATTACTAGTTCAAAATCGCGCTCGCAAATGGCCTTATTGTGAAAATTCATTAAAAGAAAGTGTCTTAATTTACTCCGGAAATGAGGTAACAAGAGATACCGCAGACTGTTTCTTCTTTGAGTTCTGCATTTTATGTTGGACGGAACTTGTGTTCTGAAATATCATAAAAATTGACTTAGAAAGTTAAATAAGTAAGTGAAATGAGAACAATAACAACGCTCTTCCAGTCTGAAATTCATTTGTAATTAACGTATACGGAACATTAGTCTGATTATATGCCACAAGAATCGCTAAAACCTACAACAATTTTTCAACATTTTCCGGTCGGTAATGTCAGTAGTATAGAAGTTCTAATAACACAACCAGTAAAAGATCTGAGTGTGATGTTTTGATGACGACACGGCCACCTTCATCAGAGAAATGACCAATGTGGATCACTGACGTACAAGATGGTACTGAATCGACCAATCGGCTGCACTATAATCCTATGTACACTAAGGTCGAAAACAGTGTGACAACGTACATGGTTGGTGGTGACAACGCGATGACAATTACAAAATGTAACTATCAAAGTATCAAATAATTTAAAAGCATTAAGATACTAACTATATTTTATGATAAAGTCTTGACACTGAATGTCACTTAATGTAATTCTTAACTGTCACAACAGATAGAAATTTCATTTCCCTACGCCTTTGCAGAACAACTTACGAACTTCAAGTCGAAATGTACCATCAAAAAGTCCATATATAAAGGGATTTGCTGCATGGTTCAGTATGTATAATTGAAATAGAAATATATAAAAAGTCCTTTTACCATCCGTAAACTCCGTCCAGAATTCCTCAGAGTCGATATTTTGAATGATATTTGCCGTTAATGATGGGATATATGTTGCAACACATACCGCCGCTATCAGCATAAACATCAGAGTATATCTGTGTTTTTCAAGCGGACTTTTTCGTGTCTTTCTTCTCTTACTTGATGTATTTTTATCTTTGTTATGTCTCTTCAGAGAAGCCACATTTGATTCCGGAGCGGTTACCATAGCATCCGTTGTGCCTATATCATTAGTTTCGTTCTCTGAATACTGAGAAGACTGTGAGTATGGGATTGACGCCTTCCTACCTTTACTCCGTCTCACTTTCTCGTAAATCCGTCGTCCAATCAAAGAGTAAAGTATTATAATAGATAAAAGAACCACTCCTGCTGAAGCAAACATGAAATAAAAATAACCCATTTCAGCGTTTGTCAACATATCGTCCTCGCTATCAATCAATCCGCATCTCCTTCCGGTGACATTTCTTGAGGGGTTATGAAGAGTTATCTCCCCGTAAAATATAAACAAAGGTGTGTGCATAAGACAGGACATCGCTAAAGCCCCAGCCACTAGAATTCGCTTCCATACTGACGTCATCTGATGACCGAACGGTCTGCACACCTTGAGGAAACGCTGCAGAGCAATTATCAAAATGAGTAAACCGGAAGTTGTACTGATCGTTCTTGTGCAGAACCAAGCTACTTTGCATATGATATTTCCTCTTGAATTAACCGGAGCCAAGTTCCTCCACAGAGAGAATGCTGGGTTTGCACAACATACAACAGTATCCAGTATGCCCAAAACTAAGATGAAGAAACGATCGTCCATACCTATCTTAAGTCGAAATCCGTAAATAAAAACTACAACAACATTTCCAACGACACCCAACAATATGTATACGCATAATATCACATCCAGGAAAATGAGAGATTTGGAAAGTTCGCTGTTCCAATGCAGGACACTTTCGGCCAGTGTCTCATTCATTATAGATGGAATTTTAAAGTATCCCTCTACAGTCAGCTCTTAGAATGTCTGAAATTCTGTTTTAGACAACAGATGCACAATGTTCAGACACCTAGTTTATAATGAGTCATTACGACGGCTATGTTGCGTTTAGTAGATACACATTGAAGATGTACAAGTGTTGTCTGGAGTGGGTCACATCCCTCTGTCTCTCTTACATACCTACATCGCCGTAAAACGGAATTCGAACGGATATTCTAGCTAGCGAGTGATGTAGATATATATACTCCTAAGTAAGATATACATATATTCATACCAGCCAACAGACATCCGCTTCCAGTCGGCTAACAGTGCACTTGTATTTTGCACGCATCCGGAATATAGCGGAAACCGTTGAACAGCCTCCGCCGGGATGCTTAAAATCTGCCCTGAAATATCATGAACGTTTGATAAGTATGTTAGTATTTTCACATCGTTGTGTCGTAGTAATGCAATATTAATGTTATACATGATACAATGGTTAAATGTGTGATAAGATCGGGAATTGTTTCATATAAATGAATTGGTTAAAAGGTCCAACCAAGCAATCCTCGCGCTCACGCGCCAAAATACACTAATTACTAAGAACATGATGCTGTCCGGGTATGCTCTGAGGAAATTACTTTGTAGTGTTATAGTAACGTTGGTGTTTGACTGGTTCATTAGCGTCATAGCCCACAACAGAATAACAAAAACAGTCAAATTATACCCACACAGGGAACTATTGGAGACGGCAGTGTATCGTGTATTTCGGGTTTGAATAATATTGTACAATGTATTCGGATAACAATTCCTCGAAATTATATCATTTTAATGTATTACATAACGTTTATGGTTTATTTATGGTCGTTATGTTGCTAAACACTGTTTTTAGTTCGCTATATGATAAACTGCGTTTTATTTAATGGGTCCGGGGCAAAGACAAAAAATGGCAATCCGTAGTAACATCATTCCCTCTGAGACGAGAAACTTGAAGATGCATTTGACGTCGAAAACCATGAAATCAATCTTTTGGCAGCACTCATTTTTTATCTTTTTTGTTAACATGGAAGCATGAAAAAACCCCACAAAATTCGTATTAATTTTCCTTTCCGGGCTACAACTTAGAAATAATTCCACTCAACTCCACAAAACTTTCTGTATGTATTAGTGCCTCAGTAGAGCCTTTTCCTTTTTGAAGACATCTTATTTTTCATCGTTTTTCTGTATCCATCAAATTGTTCGATTTCTGGTGACATTTTTTATTACTCTAAAGTTTATAGAATATTGCATAAATTTGTTCCTGGACAATACCAAGGTCTATTCAAATATCAACAGTCAAACACACCAGATCTACATCAAGATATAAACTCTTACGCTAAGGTTGATATATAAGATACATGTAGATGAAGTTGAGGAGATCTCTACCACTTATGTTTTCTCTGTATTAAATCCGGTACCGATGATGATTAAGTGATGTCACGAACTGTTACACCAGTATATAAATATGATATTTAGGTTTTACACCAACAGCTGAGTGCGGGGGATAATGCGGGTCCTTGTTATCAATCGACATTGATAAGAGGGTCAGAATACACAGAAATAAACATTTTTTAATTGGATGTTTTTCGCAGTGAAATATAAGGTTTTACGATAAAAAGTGATATTTTCACTGCAGTGAAAATAACCAGTTTTGAAATTGTCGTTTTCGACCCCTGTCTATCATCATTGGAGTGTTTCATGTGTTTTGTCTACTGTCTTTTTGCTAAATCATTTGAAGACTTATGTGCTACATGTAGATGTAAAATAATACCCGGCAGAGTAACAATGATAACATATACAGCAAATAAAGGCAAATTCAGACTGACATCAAGGGGGTTCTCCCCTTATGTTATCACTGTATGGTTAAGATTTGGTATTTCTGTTATAATCGTATCAATTGTTTCAAACGCTCGTTTTCTTTTGTTTGGTTTAGTTGTTGTTTGTTTCACATTGTGTGTATATTTATAAAGTAAACACTGGGAAAACAATGCCTGTATGTAGGATGCAAGCAGGAAACGCCCACAAACCTACCAGTAGATGTGTATGTTAATATTTCTCTTCCTTTATAAGTGTTTTTCAGTCGATCCAATGGACTCTTTTAACAAAGAGATATTAAAACCATATCGATTTGAAAAGAACATGATATTTTTTTAAGTTCCTGGTTTGAAAACTTAAATCGATCACACCAGTTCTTTATTTATTTACGTGTCGTTTTTTTTGTTTTCAGAACAGCTCGGGTACCTGTCATCCGCTCTTTCAATGAATAAAGAATTGCGTTTCTTAAGGAAGAGCAACATATCTTCACACACACTTAGTCGAAGGCGGTTATTTATCACTATCATGACTTTCCTTTTCCACTTAATAAAATTTGTATAACAAATTCCCAATAGGCATAGCTACACTTATACCTCAAGTTAGGAGGAACAAGGAAGTACTTATATTGTACCATCCAAACAATAACAATAACACATTCATTGTTATCAAGGTATACATAGTGTCACAATAACACCTACACTGTTATCAAGGTATGTCTAGTGTCACAATTACACCTACACTGTTATCAAGGTATACCTAGTGTCATAATAACACCTACACTGTTATCAAGGTATACCTAGTGTCACAATAACACCTACACTGTTATCAAGGTATACCTAGTGTCACAATAACACCTACACTGTTATCAAGGTATACCTAGTGTCACAATAACACCTACACTGTTATCAAGGTATGTCTAGTGTCATAATAACACCTACGCTGTTATCAAGATATGTCTAGTGTCACAATAACACCTACACTATTATCAAGGTATACCTAGTGTCACAAGAACACCTACACTGTTATCAAGATATGTTTAGTGTCACAATAACACCTACACTGTTATCAAGGTATGTCTAGTGTCACAATAACACCTACACTGTTATCAAGGTATGTCTAGTGTCACAATAACACTTACACTTTTATCAAGGTATGTCTAGTGTCACAATAACACCTACACTGTTATCAAGGTATACCTAGTGTCACAATAACACCTACACTGTTATCAAGGTATACCTAGTGTCCCAAAAACACCTACACTCTAATCAAGGTATGTCTAGTGTAACAATAACACCTACACTGTTATCAAGGTATGTCTATTGTCATAATAACACCTACACTGTTATCAAGGTATGTCTAGTGTCACAATTACACCTGCACTGTTATCAAGGTATGTCTAGTGTCACAATAACACCTACACTGTTATCAAGGTATACCTAGTGTCACAATAACACCTACACTGTTATCAAGGTATGTATAGTGTCATAATAACACCTACACTGTTATCAAGGTATACCTAGTGTCACAATAACACCTGCACTGTTATCAAGGTATGTCTAGTGTCACAATAACACATACACTGTTATCAAAGTGTCCCAGTATCACAATAACACCTACACTGTTATCAAGGTATACCTAGTGTCACAATAACACCTACACTGTTATCATGGTTTGTCTAGTGTCACAATTACACCTACACTGTTATCAAGGTATACCTAGTGTCACAATAACACCTACACTGTTATCAAGGTATACATAGTGTCACAATAACACCTACACTGTTATCAAGGTATACCTAGTGTCACAATAACACCTACACTGTTATCAAGGTATACCTAGTGTCCCAAAAACACCTACACTCTAATCAAGGTATGTCTAGTGTCACAATTACACCTACACTGTTATCAAGGTATACCTAGTGTCACAATAACACCTACACTGTTATCAAGGTATACCTAGTGTCATAATAACACCTACACTGTTATCAAGGTATACCTAATGTCACAATAACACCTACACTGTTATCAAGGTATACCTAGTGTCACAATAACACCTACATTGTTATCAAGGTATACCTAGTGTCACAATAACACCTACACTGTTATCAAGGTATACCTAGTGTCACAATAACACTTACACTGTTATCAATGTATACCTAGTGTCAAAATAACACATACACTGTTATCAAGGTATACCTAGTGTCACAATAACACCTACACTGTTATCAAGGTATACCTAGTGTCACAATAACACCTACACTCTAATCAAGGTATATCTAGTGTCATAATAACACTTACACTGTTATCAAGGTATACCCAGTATCACAATAACACCTACACTGTTATCAAGGTATATCTAGTGTCACAATAACACCTACACTGTTATCAATGTATATCTAGTGCCACAATAACACCTATCAAAGATATCACAGTAGGTCTATCATGTAAAAATAGTAAGATGAAGTAAAATGTATGTAACTTTCTGATCTTGTATAGATATATAAGTACTGAAAGCGAATTATCCTAGACAGAAAACGTCAACTAAGAATTGATGAGGGACCATCAATACATCGTCCAAACCTCACATATATCTTTTATACTTATTTACATATCATCGTCTATAGTATGAACATGATTGTTATTTCATCAATGCCTGTTTCCGACATAGGTTAGGATGTAGTCCATGCTTTTCCCTGTCCCTGTTGATAATATGCGTGAGATGTCCTTACTCTGCTTTAAGTGTGCTGTAATTATTGAAGCTGTTCACGTTCTTGTGTTATTTGAACTTTCTGGTTTTGGGTACTCCCTTGCCATTTAATTTCTGTACCACACCCTGTTTCAATCATTAGATTGATTCTTAAGACATCTTAGAGAGATGTGCCCAGCAGAGCTGAAATGACCACACCACGAGGCCATTAACCGGAAACATAAGTGTGTCATATCCGGAATACGATTTACAATATGTAATTCAATATTGTTACACACCCTGTACCAGTCATAATAGGTTCTAGTAATGTTTTTGTTTTAAGCTTTTGTAACGCTACACAACCTTTGATAATATGCCAACTGAGTGGTAAGGAGATTTATTACTGTAGACGTACTGGCTTAAACAGCAAAACATGATATTTGACATAAGGAGATATTATAAAGTTCGACGAATCAAGATGGCGGAACTTTCACTAAATCTACGGCTCCTCATCCACAATTATTCCTCACGGCTAGGTGTGATGTCATTACACACCGAGTTATCGCCCCTGACACTA